TCATAATTGGTCTAGAAAAATAGAATGAATATACTCAAATATAAATCAAATTAAAAATTTATAAACTTCCATCAAATATAATATACTTGAATCAAATAGGAGCGCATACATATTTAGTAAAACAAATTATAATCTCTTATATAAACATACCAAAAGATCAAAATAATAATAATAATAAAAAATCTAAACTTCTTGTATAAACATACCAAAAGAAGAGCTGGACAACAAAGTCGTGCGTCAGGATATCGACGACTAGGTAATGAACAGCGGAGCAGAGTGGCTTGGAAGACGATTGAGAAGTTCTTATCGGAGACACGTGTCAGATGGAGAGAAGAAGAGAGAGAGAGAGGCGCCAGTGGCTTTCAGGGTTCGGTGTCACGGCTGAAGAGGAAAAGAGAGGCGGAGGTTGTGGGCGAAGTCGCCGGCGGGTGGTGGCATCAATTGGGTGGGGATGAAAGAGAGGGAGAGGCCGGATGAGGGCTAGCGAAGAGGAGCAGAAGAGACACTACTGTGCTCAGGAAAATAATTTTCAGTTGGTGTGAAATAGGGGCTCCAATTATGTGTAATATCCCATCCATAATCAAGTTGACCCATTAAATATTTTGTTAAATTAAATATTTTAAAGTTGTTATTGTCAATATATCAACTTTAAAAGGCTGTAGATTTTTGAATTCATATATGAGTTAAATGAAATTTACGTTATTGGATATATTTTTAAGTTATCGTTCCAACGCTGCAAACGGTGAGTCAATCTGAGTCCAAACAAAAAAATTATAGTTAAAATAGTAGTGAAAGGTCTGTTGTATATTCAAATGCATTTTAAAAAACTCCAATATGATTTTGACTCGACTTTTAAATATAAATTTCACTTTCTCACTTAGATGTAATCTTCATTTCACCCTACCCGCCACCCCTTCCCTCCTACTTAGGGATGTCAAATGAGGTGGGGTAGCCCCAGATCGGTCCCGGACTTGATCTTAATGGGGCAGGTTCGGGTTTAAAAAATTTGGTTCAGGGCGGGTTGTGGATTTTGAGTTTTAGACCCGGCCAAGTTCAGGGCAGGTTATGGGTTTTACTAAACCTGCTCCTCTTCCGACCCAGACCCGAACTCGGATATTTTATTAATTATTATAATTTATTTATATCTTTACACAATATAAAATATATTATTTATTTATTTAAAAATTTTTAAATATAAAATAGAACCTTAATTTTATATCAAATTTGTCTGTATTATTTCTCCTACAATTTTTTTTATAATCAAAACTACTGCTGATCACCATCACTGCGAACTATTATCAATATTTAATTGTTCTTGTTTTTAGAATTATAATTTTTTGGTACTTTAACGCAAACTTTTTTCTAGTATTAAATTATTTACACTACAAAAAAATATCAATTTTATAACAAGATTTTTTCGTTCTTAAATCCATTTTTTCCGTTACTAATGATATTAGAGACGGAATTAGGGACGGAATTACGTTAGCTACGTGAACTTTAGGAACGAAATTCCATTACAAATATACTATTTTTTTGTAGTGTTAAAAAATATATTTTTTTTTATTTTCTTTAAAGAAAATACGAGAGTTTGTCAGGTTGGCCCCGAACCCGAAGGGTTTGGGGCAAGACGGGTCCTGGGGCCATGTTGAAGCGGGCGAGGCGGGTCTTGAATCCTAATATTTTCTAGCGGGGCGGGTTTCGGGGTGTGCAAAACCCATCTCGAACCCGCCCTGTTGACATCCCTACTTCCACTCAAGTTTGAGGTAATTTTAGAGTGAATTTCGATCGAATCAAGTCCCACGAGTCAGTGGTAGTTGAGTTGGTTAACTTCCTATAAATAAGGTAGGATGTTAAATTATGCATGCTTGAAATGAATGGACCGTTATATATATATATTCGTATATGATATATGGTGAACTTATTATGATACAAGATTAAAAAATGATCATTTGTGTATGCCGTGAAGTTGGCTAGACTTAGCCGTTGATTGACAAGTCGATTGGTAAATTGTATAAGCCATGGATTTGGCTAGACTTAGTCGTCGATTGGTAAATTGTATAAGTCGTCGATTGGCAAGTCGATTGGTAAATTGTATGACTCGTGGATTTGACAAGACTTGACTGTTGATTGGAAAGTTGATTGATAAATTGTATAAATTGTGGATTCGGCTAGACTTAGTCGTTGATTGAAAAACCGATTGGTAAATTGTACAAGCAGTGGATTTGGCTAGACTTAGCCGTTGATTAGCAAGTCATTTGGTAAATTGCGTAAGTCGTGCATTTGACTAGACTTAGACCGTTGATTGGCAAGTCAAATGATAAATTGTGATAGCCATGAATTTAGCTAGATTTAGCAATTATGGCAAGTTTATTAATAATTGTGTGAAGTCTAGACTTAGTGATTACTTGGCAAGTTGGTTGATCAATTGAGTGAGCCGTTGATTGTGGATAGTTGTAGTTATTGTTTTGTTAACACTTATTGTTGGTAATTTATTTCATAGCTAAGTCTAGTCAAATCCAATTTATCAATTAACGATTAATCTTACAGACTTAGTAAGAAATCCAAGTAAGAAATTAAATAGCTTAGTAACATCTACAACTTACACAATTTATCAATCAATTTTTCAATCAATTACTAAGTCTAGCCATATCCACGGCTTATACAATTTATCAATCGACTTGTCAATCAACGTATACGTTTAGTCAAATCCACAACTAATACAATTTACAATCGACTTTTCAATCAATGACTAAATCTAGCCAAATCTACAGCTCACACAAATTATCAATCAACTTGTCAATCAACGACTAAATATAAACAAATCCAAAACTTATATAATCCAATTTATAGAAATCCAATTTACAGCTTAATAAGTCTTTGATAAATTGGATTTTTAATTTGTGTAAGCTGTTGATTGAAAAAAGTAGTAAGCATTTCTCATTGAAGTGTACATTGAACATGTTCATCAGTGCTTTCAGAACAACGTGGTAATTACACATCTTTTCATTGCATATCCAATATGTATATAGTTATTTAGAAAGCTTATTCCTTAATAGAAGTACATGCAATCACGTCAAAAGTATGTAACTTAGTTAAATGAGTAACCTATATCTTCAACGGGGTATGTTGTTGAAATTTAGGAATTTTTTCACATCTAACCATAAAATTTTGCGCAACAAAGTATATTTCTTAATTCTGTGTGTACATACCTCTAATACCAAAATTCATACTTATGGAGAACTGCATATGTCATACATTAAATTAAAAATTATGATGATCCTTAAAGTTTTTGGCAAAACATAACATCAATGCCTAACTATCCCAAATTTGATAACCATGTATTTCAAATCTCAATTATTCTCAATTTATGCATAAAAATTAACATACAAATACAATAAATGACACTAGACAACCTTTCCAGGGTCTCTTGATTAAATCTTCACAACAACTTTTGTTCGAAATGTTTTGACATCTTCGAATTTGGTAGCTCATCTGTTAAGTGGGTAAGTTTTTGTTTTGCATAATCTCAGGGAACATACATACTAGCGACTCACAATCATGTGTCTTACCTTGAACCTGACAATATTTAAAATAAAGACATAATTCTATAAAAGTATATACAACACTGATTCAAGTTTATGACATAACTATATAGGTATGTAACTTTCTTGTAGAGGAACGCCAATTGAAAACCAGAGCACACATTATATACCATTTCTTATAATAAAAAATATTTGGAGGCATTAACGCATACTAGTAAAACTGTAAAAACAAATAGAATTTTTATGAATCGAAAAAAATAAATACATGAACAACTAAAAATATGATAGAGATAACAACAAATACCTTCAGTACTAAAAAAATCAGTCCATATACAAAATTGCATCGACGGTATTTGAAGAAAAAAAAATCTTCGAACTCCACCATCTTATATCGCAACCATTTTACTCCAAAATTAAACCTAAAAATATAAAAATGAAGATACTTCTATATACAATAAGGTTATTTACAATTTAAAACACATCAAATAACATATATTTGAAACGATGGTGGGTTACGATGCCGAAGTAAGCTTGACTAGAACATGGACTTATACAAACCAAATAGAGGCACAAGACAAATATATTAGAATATACCGACAAATATATTAGAATATACCACGGATTTAAAAGTACGAAACTAAAATATCAATTATGCCAAATATAAAAAATTTAACTTAATTCTTGAACTTCGTTTGGGAGAGACCCTTTTTGATATTTCGTGCAGACTATGCACTTTTGTTTTATCCTATGGGTTAGTCTTTGATCCATAAAATTTTCAATGCAACGGCGGTGATGATTTCAAGGATAACGGTTGGAGGCGGCGGCTTGAAAATGGGAAGAGAAAGGTTTATGAAGAAAAAAAAGTGATTGAGATCGTATGTATTGTTTAAATTCAGTTATTTTTTCTATGATATTTTTGTAACTAATTATATGTAGTATATAAATAATAAATTAAAATAGATTACTTTGTAATTAAATTTATATAGCTAAATAATTTTAAAGTACGTAACTAGTGAATATAAATTTACGTAAATTTAACGGAAATATATAATATATTTGTTCCTTAAATTCATTATTATAATATATTTGTAACTTAAATTCATTAGTCCAAAGTACAGTGTTTAAGAGAAGCATATAATATATCTGTTATATAAATTCATCATTTCAAAGTTCAGTGTTTTGACGTAACCTAAATTTAATTTTATCGGACAGAAATCAAAGTCCCCTTTATTTGATCATCTTAATCGAATTTAATTAATTTATTTAATGTGAAATTTATGTAGACAAGCTCAACCAGTTTCTACCCCCCTAACCTGTTTGCGGGGCACACCCGGCAATTACTAAATTGCAAAATATCACTAAATTTTTAACGTGGCTGTGCTCTCGCCACGTGTCACCTCCAGGTTGTCCTGTCCCGTTACATTTCCTCCTCCTTTCTCTTTGCCTACTACACATTATTCTATTATTTCTCCTCCCCACCCTATCGGAATTTTCACATCCGCCATGGGAACCGCCAGGCACAAATATTTTCCGGCGCCGTGGAATGTGCAAGCTAAGCCCTGCGACTTCTGCGCCACCGCAGCTGCGGTGGTCTTCTGCCGTGACCACGCGGTGTTCACGTGCATCACGTGCGACGGAAGAGCACACGCCGCCGCGGAGGACGAGAAACACGGACGTGTTTGGATGTGCGAAGTCTGCGAGCAAGCGCCGGCCGCCGTCACCTGCAAGGCTGACGACGCCGCGCTCTGCGCCGCCTGTGATCGCGACATCCACTCGGCGAACCCCCTCGCCGGCCGCCACGACCGCCTCCCGGTGGTGCCGTTCTTCGACACCGCCGCCATCCTCGTTCCGGCGGTGGATAACATCTACCCCGACTCCACCCCGCCGAGCGACGCCGGCCGGAAAGTCGACTTCTTCTCCGATCTCCCGCCAAAATTCCCGCCGGCGGATAATCCGGAGATGAAATCAGTGGAATTTTTGTTTTCCGACTCCGAGCAGTTCTTCGATTTCGACAATAATTACCAAATCTGCTCGCAGCCGTACAGCGACAGCGTCGTCCCTGTCCAACCCGCCGGAAAACCGCCATTACAGGAGCTTACAGTGCCCAATCCGCCGCCGGAAAACCTATTCGAGCTCGATTTCAGTAAACCAAGCATCACCAGCTACAACAAAAGCAGCTACACCGTTCCATCTCTCAGCCACAACGTAATTAACTTCACAATTTCTCTGCAACATCGATTACTCACACACACTGATTCAACGCTGATCATCCATAAATTAAATACCTTTTCAGCTTTCCTCGTCGTCCATGGAGGTCGCCGTGGTGCCCGACGGCAGCGGCATGTCGGAAATATCTTATCCATTTTTTAAATCTATAAGCACCGACGGGCAAGGATTGCCGGCCATGGCCGCCGATCGAGAAGCTAGGGTTTTGAGGTACAAAGAGAAGCGGAAGAACAGGAAGTTCGAGAAGACGATACGGTACGCTTCCCGGAAGGCGTACGCGGAAACCCGGCCGAGGATCAAAGGCCGGTTCGCGAAGAGAACCGACCCTGACCCGGATGTCGACCGGGTTCTCGGCTACGGTGCCCGATACGGCGTCGTTCCGATGTTTTGATGGTACTTAACAATATATATATATATTTATATTTATTATATATATTCCCACCTTTGTTAATTCAGAAATTAATTTTATGTTAAAAGGAAAAAATTGTGTATCGATCTTGTATTTGTTTTTTTGTTTTTTCGATGACATAGGAACTCGCCGCCGCTATTTGAAAGTGCCCACTGAATAAACCCCCGGCCGAACCTAATACTCTGCAAATCAGGTCCGACGAAAAAGTCACACCAGACGAACCATGTGTGACAGGTGACCTGAGTTGTCGGAGTTTTTTTAAATGGATTATAGCTCAACTGCAATTTAAATGGACTTTCTTTGTTTAATTAATTTTTACTTTACTTAAAAAATAAAAAAATATATATGTATATTATTTCTAAATTTTTTTATAGTTGTTTATAATTCAAAAAAATAGTTAAATATTTCTGTAGTATTTAATCCATTGGACCAGCTAAGTGGATCTAAATCTGGTTGTTGATTGGTGTACATTTTTTATTTTATTTCAACTTTATTTGGTAGGCACAAGGGAGTGTTCGGTGCAGTTAAATTAACTACTGATTTTTTAAATAAATAAATATATCTATAGCTTTTTATTTAAATTATACAAGTGTCAAATTAATGAAATGAGTAATATACACTGTGTCATTAAAATATAATATTCTACATGTTTATTAAATTATATTTTTAATTTATAATAAATAATATTAATACATTCTTTAATTTATATATTTTAATATTATATTTATTTACAAATACACGATCATTATTCATACAAAATTTCTCTTATTTTATTAATCCACCAATATAATTTTTAAAATAATTTGATTATATATTACAATTAATTTATATAATATTATATTTATAAAAGTATGTCATTAATTTAAATGAGCATAAAATTTGTAAAAAGAGAAGGTTTTGATATACAGTTAAATTGAATAAGAAAATATTGGGTGACAATCAGAAATAACCGTGAGGAATTAGTTTTTTCTTCTTTTTTTTTTTTTTTTTTTTTTCTTCTTTTGACGACGTGTCCGAAAGCATGCATTGGGTAAACCCGCCGCAGAACCTAAGGGGGCGTTTGGTACAGAGAATGAAATTGCAGAGAAATAATAGAATAAAATAGAATTGGAGAGAAATGAAATTGAGTAGAGAATGAGAATTAATTCTCTTGTTTGATAAAACAGAGAATTGATTTGAGAAATCTAAAAAAAAATGCAGATATCTGAATGAGCAAACAAAAATAAATGATTAACACGATGAAAAGAGAGTTTTAACGAATGAGAATTCATGAAAAATATTTTTGGTAATTTTTTTTTAAAAAAATTATAAATTATATATGATGTTTTTTAAGATTATATTTTAGTAGAATTTCTTAAAATATCGTAAAAATTAAATACTTTAAAAATAAATTAAGTTTGTTTTTTGTAAAATTAAAATAATATAATTTTTAAAAAATTATAAAAATTAAATAGTACAAAAAAATTTAAAAATTAAAAAATATATATACTGCAACATCATTTCTCTCTATTTCTCCGCATATGAGAGAAAAATGAAAATGATTTATTTCTCAAATTCCATTTCTTTTGACTCAAACAAATAAGAGAAATGATACCATTTCCATTTCTCTGACTTCATTTCTCTATACCAAACACAACCTAATATCTTGCAAATCAGGTTCGACGGGAAAGTCACATGTCACAAATTTAACACCTACACCACCACACAATTCCATACGGACCAATTATTTAATAATTATTGGTGGGGCGGTGTGTCGTTTATGACTTTTGACTATTGTAATAATTTCCAATTTGACTTTTATTTCCATTTGTACTATTGGTCAAAACTAATAAAGGAGTTCTTTTTTATTTTTTCTTTTAAAAAATACTCGAAAATGTAATTTTAGTATTGTAAAGGTTATTTATGTTATTTCACGTGTCTCTTTTCGTGAGTATGCATGAGGGTTTAAATAGGATCATTAGAGAACATTTTTCTATATTCTTCGTTTATATATAAAAATAAAAATATATAAAAAAAAGTATAATGAACAAAAAAAAAAAAAAAAAAAGAAAGAAGAAAAAAAAAAAGAAGTCAAAAACATGTATACCTAAAATATATGCTAAACATAAAGCAAACAAACACACAAATTGGAAACAATGAAGTGAAATATTGCTTGAATTGCCAATTCCCATGTTTGAAATTTTTTTAAGTTTGAATTCTTTAAATTAGGGAGGATGTAATATAAAAGAACCAAATAATTTAAATAAGTAATTGTTATAGTATGGGTTCAGTTGTTTGTTTTGATTTTGTTACGTACGAAATTTAGAATTAGGTTAAAAGCCCAAGGTAAAAAGAAGAATGGGCCTGGCAATAGAGTTGATTGAACTAGCTCAAGGAAAATAGGTTTATTTCTAAGGAAAGTCCTCAGGACGGAAGGACCTCAGGTCGGTAGGTCCTCAAGACGGAAAGACCTCAGGTCGGAAGGTCTTCAGGTCGGTAGGTCCTCAAGACGGAAAGACTTCAGGTCGGAAGGTTTTCAGGACGGGAGGTCCTCAAGACGGAAAGTCATCAGGACGGAAGGACCTCAGGTCGGTAGGTCCTCAAGACGGAAAGACCTCAGGTCGGAAGGTTTTCAGGTCGGTAGGTCCTCAAGACGGAAAGACCTCAGGTCGGAAGGTCTTCAGGTCGGTAGGTCCTCAAGACGGAAAGACCTCAGGTCGGAAGGTTTTCAGGACGGGAGGTCCTCAAGACGGAAAGTCATCAGGACGGAAGGACCTCAGGTCGGTAGGTCCTCAAGACGGAAAGACCTCAGGTCGGAAGGTTTTCAGGTCGGGAGGTCCTCAAGACGGGAAGTCATCAGGACGGAAGGACCTCAGGTCGGTAGGTCCTCAAGACGGAAAGACCTCAGGTCGGAAGGTCTTCAGGTCGGGAGGTCCTCAAGACGGAAAGTCATCAGGACGGGAGGACTTTAGGTCGGTAGGTCCTCAAGACGGAAAGACCTCAGGTCGGAAGGTTTTCAGGTCGGGAGGTCCTCAAGACGAAAAGTCATCAGGACGGGAAGTCCGCAGGTCGGGAGGCCCTCAGGACGGGAAATCCGCAGGTCGGGAAGCCTTCAGGACGGGAAGTTCTCAAGTCGGAACTCTGCGGCAGGACCAACAAATCGGATGGTTTGTTAGTCGGGATGTCTGTAGCTACTCCAAATAAGTCAGATGGTTTGCAAGTCGGGAGGATTGGCAGTCGGACCAACGCGGTTGTAGATTGGCAGTCGGGCCAAAAGGGCGGAAGGTCTATGGTCGGCTCAAAGAGTGGAATATAGGGATAATTTTGGTCTGCTGAGGACACGTGTCAGCAGGAGAAGGATTGGAAGACGGTTGGGAAGGAGACGTTGTAACCGTTCGGGCGACGGTTTTCAGTACAATTCCCAGAGAATATTTAAGGATTTGGATCATCATTTGACAAGGCATCTTCAATCAACTTCAACAAAGCAAAGTCAGATTTGGGGATCACCACTTTAAATTTCAGTCTTTTATTTTCCAGTTTATTTTCTGTACCATACAGTGTTTAGAGATTCCTAATCTCAGGCACTAATTAATCAAGTTTAAGGATATTTTCTATATCTTTGAATTTTACTTTATTTTTGTTGAAAAATTACATCAACAAATTGGCGACCACAGTGGGAGCAAGACAAAATTGCTCATTCCAATTCCGGCGATAATTTCATACGTCTAAGATCCGGCCGTATCATCGGAAGGGTCCATATGGCAGGTTCACAACCTCAATCATCTTCGGCACCGGTGGGAGAATCCGTTCCACCACCTATTGTGCCAAATGCCGGGGAAATCCCACAACCACCAACTGATTGGTGGTCTTATGTTCAACAAATGAACAACCAGCATACTTTGGTTATGCAGAATATGTTGCGTGAGCAACAAACGAACATGTTGCGTGAGCAACAGAGTCTGATGCAGAACATGATAGATCAAGCACTGTCAAGGGTTAGTCTTCAACCCACTCAAACTCCACCAGGAGTATCACCGTCCAGACCACAGGCAAATTTCGCAGGGCCATCATTCGTGGATAGTACATTCCCAAGTGCCACAAATCCCAACCGAATGGATAGGGGAATATCTCCTCTGACTTTTCCCAACACTGTTCCACTGGGACCAAGGGTTACCAATCCGCAACCGAACAATACAAGGGAGGACAGGCCTGAAGGATATATACATGATCCTATTCATATTCCTGTGCAGGATCCGTTCCATGTTCCTGATCATCAACGCTTTCATGTAGATCCTGATGAGATTGCACATATATTAAGGGATCAGTATGGATTAACTCCTCAGATGGCTAACCGCCCTGCATATCAGAGACCTTTCCCAGAAAGGATCATTAATGAATACCCTCTCCCAAGGAATTATCGACCACCCGATTTTCATGCATTCTCAGGGGAGGACGGATCTTCCACCATAGAACATGTTGGTCGTTTCACAGCACAATTAGGAGAAGTTGGCAATAACCCTTTTTATAAGTTGCAGCTGTTTGGTTTATCTCTTACTAGAACAGCGTTTTCGTGGTTTGCAAGTCTGCCTCCTGGACAAATTCAGACTTGGGAAGGACTGGAGATGGCATTTCATGCCAGATTCTTCAATCCTTTACCAACTGTTTCTTTAACTGATTTACTAGAATTGAGACAGTATCCAGAAGAAACTGCTTCACAGTTTATAGAAAGGGTGCGATTGATGAAGGGACGATGTCCTACGGTAATCAGTGAGAAAGAGATGACCAATTTAGTGGTCCGGAATATGCATACTCGCTTAAGAAAGGCACTCACTGCCCTGGATGTTGAGGATTTGGCAAGTCTTGCATCCAAGGCAGGACGTTTAGAGTCTTTGTTCAGAGAGGAAGATCAGCATAACAGGCGTAATAGAGGCCAACATATGGCGAGTATGGGAACAGAAACATGTGACTTTGATTTTAATCAGTCAGAAGAGATGGCAGCCGAAATCCTTTCTGGAAAACCTTATGTATGCCCCAAATTGAAGCCAGTACCAGGATCTGAAGGAAAGGAGCAACCGACGTTTGATAGTTCGAAAGCTGATGAAATCTTTGATATCCTACTGACTGATGGGCAGATCCGTATTCCAAAGGGGCAAAGATTGGCCACTAAAGAAGAAATCAAAGGGAGACCATATTGTAAGTGGCATAATTCTTTCACACACAATACAAGTCAGTGTACTCATTTCAGGAAGGAAATTCAAAAGGCCATCAAGACAGGTCGGCTCAAATACATCACTCTAGGTGTAGACCAGCAACCGTTTCCGAAAGTAACAACGGCAATGGTTGACATCCAACCAAGTTCGGAAACAGGGAAAAGTTCGGCCAATAATGGACAAACAGGGGAACGAACTCAGGCAAGCCCCGGAACAAAAAAAGGAAGTCAGCCAAACAGTGGCCGACCGGAAGAACGACTCAAAGTTGTTGAAAGGCCAGTCGCTGAAAAATGGGACCGTCCAGACGGTTCTTTTAATGTGGAGGTGAAAGAAA